CTTCTGTCATTCCCTGGCTTGGAAGCTGCTTGCATCATTTTCCTCTCTGCATAAAATAATTTGTGCATGAGAGAAGAAAGGAGCCGTGGTACCAAATGCAACGAAGTTAGGGAAGGAGAAGGAGAAGGAGAATTATTCAAAACTGCCCCGAGAGTCATTGAGGCACGCCTCAACATTCTAGTGACAGCTGTTGCAAGCATAACTCAACAAAATGTATTCAAGCAATAGCCCTGAAAGGCAATGTTTCAGGCAATGTTTTCAATTGCCTTTACTCCGTAGACTTATTAACACAAGCACAAAGTCCAGATCAGAAGCTAAAAGCAGAGTCAGAGCTGATTAGAATTTGGATGGGAGACCATGAAGAAACCTCAGGGTTAAGGAACACATTGAAAGTTGCTAAAGCTTCCCCTGGAAGAAGGCAGTGACAAACCACTTCTGTCCTGTTGCCAGGAAAACATATATGGCCATGGACATGAATCACTAGAAGCTGTAAAAGATTTTACTTTTATTCTGTACCACTCAGATTTGTTTGGGATGCTGTATCCAGTTCTGGGTATGCCTTATTTGAAGCAAGGCAGTAGCTGTATTTACGGCACACAGCTAACCTGGTTACAATATTAATCCATTTTCTGGGTTTGCCCAGTTCCCTGAACCATAAACTAACTCAATGGGATGCATTTGCACGCACACACACACACACACACACACGCAAACCATGTTTAGCATGTTGCCCAAATGCATTTGCTAGCTTTTTGTCAAACCTGGTTAAGCCTGTGTGAATGCAGCCACAGAAAAAGTGAGGAATATCCAGGTGTGGGGGGGTTCCTGAGGAGGGCCAGGATTTAGAGGACAGGAAATCCTATGACAAATAGATTGAAGAGGAAAAAATAAGAGCAAGAATGCTACTGCTCTTTCCACTTTAAGGGAAGAGACAAGACGTTTATCTAAAACAAGCAATGCCTCTAAAGAAAGCAACACGCTATATTCCCTCTGAGACTGTCATTTAATCATGCAGCCATTCAGAGGGAATCATGCGCTGAGTTTCTGATGGATGCCAAGGGGATTGGCTGAATTAAACACACATACCCCATGGTTGCTTCAGCACAGAACCACAGAACTGCTATGAATCTAGGATCTGTTGGATCCACCCTTCTGTCCCTCTCAGTGGCCAGACCTATTTATTTATTCCAGGTAGGTTTATGCCACATCAGTCAGGTGAATCTAAGCAGCCTGCCATTATAATAAAACATAACAAATGCCAGAATGAAAAAAACAATACAATCTATAAAATCATGGCACTTAGTCCAATTAATTCATACAATCATAATACATAACAGCATGATATCCTTCCTGGGGATCTCATTAACACATCCCTAATCCTTAAACACTTATTTAAATAACCAAGATTTTAAAAACTGGTCAGGTTTACATTGGCTGGAACGGAGGGGAAGTGCAGATACCTCAGGGAAGTGTAGAAATAGGGTAGAAAGGCAATAACTCTGCTATTTCTCCCCAAAATTGGTCCTTGGAGTTATATTGCCATGGCATGGATGATTTACTAGGAGCGATCAGCCTAGACCCAGAACCAATTATAGGAAATGTGACTGACTTACAGCTTGACTTGGGTACTGGCCCATCTGCAAACACAGTGGGGAAATTATAGGTATGTCCTACGAAGACTTGTATGATTTGTTTCTACAAGTTATCTACAAGAAGACATTCTTGGAAATAAGATAAAAAAGACAACATTAAAAGAAAAAGAAAATCAGCCATTAACGTTTGCATGACTGGCGTTCTAAAATCCCACCAAGTGTGTTAGAGTTGATGTGGTGCCACTGAAGTGCATTGAAGTGCATTACATGGTGATTTCTCAGCCGGCAGCAGGGGGAGCTGCTGGGCTTCCTGATTCAGCTATAAGGAACTTGCTGGTCAATGAAATGGTCTGCTCTGGAAGGCTCTGTGAGACTTCACTGTTGATGATTTACATTCCCCTCATGCTCAATAATAATTCCTCTGTTGATCTCCCCCCCTTCCAGCCCTGATCGTATAAATAAGAGCTTGGCTAATGTTTCTGTTGTACAAGATTATACTAATATATGAATTTTAACGCTAGACAGGGACAGTGGTTGACAGGGGGTTTACATGGATTTTGACAGCTGAAAAGGCCATATGCATTCCAGGCAGAGCTTTGGGTTAGCAAATGCCAGATGTGCAGATGTTGGTCTCATCCGTGCATCCTGCTTGCTCCGGGCCAGACATCCCACTCAGCATTTGAGGAGGAGGGAATACACATTCACAGCCCACCAGAAAGGGGGTTTCAACTTCAGAAGCGCTGTTCTGCCGTTCCTGCCCGCCCGAGCTGCACAGCAGATCATTCAAAACAAAGAAAAGGTTTGTTTATGGGTGGGAGGCTGCCTGCCTGCCTCTTAGCGCCCGTCAGAGGCTGATGTGGGCACATCCTCCACCTCAAAGCCTTGCGTCTGCTGGCTGGGGAATTCTGGGAGTTGAAGTCCACCCATCTTCAAGCTGCCAAGGTTGAGAAACACTGCTTGGGACGGTTGCTTTTTATTATTGTGATACTGCTTTGGCAATTCTGGTCAGCCTACTAGGTGGAGTGCCCCCCCCCCGTCCCCGCCATTAGCCAAGTGGCTAATTTAAGTGGGCTCTGAGCAAGTGCAAAAGTGAAGGGGCCACGGCTGCCTCTCTCCTTGCTCTGCTTTCAAGAGTGGGCTCTGGGTTTGCTTGGGGCCAGTAGGGTTCTCCCCAGGTTCCCAGAGCTCTGTGTAAGCCAACAGATGATTCTACATAGGATTTTACCCTATGGCGAGTGAGCGGGTTTGTTCCCAAATCATTTTGTCAGTGCAAAGCTCTATTTTCTTAAAGCACACTGTCTCTTCTTCCTCTTCGCCATCTCATTTTGCAGGGATCCATCTGCAGCAGAGGGATCTATCTGCTGGACAGCAGGGGTGACCAAGGATCAAAAAAGTCAAGATGGCAGCCACAGCCAGGCAATTGAAGCTCCCAGAGAGTTCTGGGGCTTCACTTGCATAGTTGTGTCTGCCATCTTGACTTTTTTGACACCCCTGTCGGGGGGACCCCTCGAAATCCAGGGTTGCATTGCCCCCCACAATTCCTTTTAATAGCCCTGCAAATGGAGTCCTTTCTTTGCAGAGGCTGGGCTGATAATAACAAAAGGACACGTGAAACACTCTGATTCTCCATTAATCCCAGGATTCAGCTTGTCTGCCTGCTGACAGCTGAATAGTTTTGAGAACCTGCATCGGGAAAGTCCATTAATTATTTTTAGGGATGCCCTTTCTGCCAGCAGCTCTTCTGAACGTGAGCCAAGGGGGGGTTAAATTCTTTGACTATACGGTATGAAAGGGAGCGGCAATAATGGATCGCCCTTGCAATTCTGTGCCTCATTTCATGCGTCTTTTTTCCTGAGAAGAATCTCCCTGAACTCAGCAGAAGTTACTTTTAGCGTGCATACAGAGGTCTACCTTTGTGAAACGGGGTCACATCATTATCCAATGCATGTTTACTTGGAATTAAATTGCAGGGCAATCTCTGTGCATGTTAAGATTAGATCCCCACTTAGCCAGCCTGTATGTCAGCTTAGTAAGTTAAGCAAAGTCAGCTCGCTGTGGTTTGTCCACCTTTTGAATTTCGCTGGCTTATAATGGTGGGGTAAACCCAGTCCTGTAGCTTATTTAAAGACCATTGTTAAATAAACCAAAACTTAGAGCAAGGTACCAGCTAGTTTTACATCTCAGAATGGGTCCAGGTGCAAGTTAAGGCTAAGTGATGGTACAAGGGGTGCAGCAGGGTTATTGTCCTGCCCCAGAGCCAAGATGGCGACCCCCTGGCTGGGCTGCTGGCAAGGAAGGGCCCTGCGTAGGATCACTTTACCCATGTAGCAACCTGGCATACTTAACACGCAACCAAATGCCAACTGAACAGGGCGGTTAGATTCACAAGAGACACTGCAAGGCAGGATATCCACGGGGCGGGGGAGGGGAATCAAACAATCAAGATCGCAGCCACGTGATCACAGCCGCCATCTTGGATTTTTCAACACCCTCGCCCTCAGCAGACACCCCTGCTGTCTGGGTTTCTACTACACAATGAGTCCCTATTAGCTCATCACATTGTAGCCTGCTATGCTATGCACACCCCTTGTACCGTCTTGGTTGGTTTATGGTTCAGGGAATCATGCCAACCCAGAAAATCAGTATAATGGGGTAAACCATAGTTCACTTACCATGGATAAGCCATGATTTATTAACTAAGCCAACCGTAGTTCCAATAAAAGAGAATATCTGGAGCTCAGGGTTGAACTGTGGAGTCCTTGGTGCTCTCTGAGCTTGGCTGTTTGCTTGCAGACGTTTCGTTACCCAACTAGGCAACATCATTAGTGCGAGGGAGTGTGGGGTTTGCTGCCTGTTTATCTATAGTAGCTTGCCCTGCCCGTTTTGGTGGGGATGGGGTGGCATCACGTTCACTGATGAAGTTACCTAGTTGGGTAACGAAACGTCTGCAAGCAAACAACCAAGCTCAGAGAGCACCAAGGACTCCACAACCATGGTTAGCTGCACTTACACAATGCAGACCACCCCGGAAGCTGGATACCCAGGTCTCATAAAGCTAAACCCAAACAAACCACCTGCAGAGGTAGGTCATCTGGCCCCCTCCCAGTGCCCATAACCCCCTGCCAACGGGAAGGTGCTCCGGGAGCTGCGATCCAAACCTTCAGGCGGGCGCGGCGTCGCCGGACCGCACTTCGAGCCACGGGTCACAATTCGGAAGCATGAAAGGGCTCCTCTGGACAGCGAAGAAGCCGGTCCACCAATCACAGCTGAAAGTGTCCTCGTGACCACGCCTCCTTCCCTCTCTTCGGCTTCCTATTGGCCGAGCGGTACAACCCGGGCACGAGTGCGCCTTTCCTATACCCCATATATAGAGACGAACCGGGCAAGGTTGCGTGGAAATGCGGGAGACTCGGCGGTTTGGTTAGCGGTCCTCCCACGCGCCGTTTCCGATCTCGTCCTGGGGTGGGGGGTGGACTCTTTTTATTATTATTATTCTTGTTACATATTATTATTTTTGGAGTGTCTTCATCACGTGGGGCATCAAACCCGCAAGCCCGCCGCCACCGATCATGGCAGCCCAGCGCTAATGTTTCGTTTCGCGGTCATTCTTTGCACGCCGTTCGGGGTTAGCGATGGCTAAAAGGAGCTCCTTGTTTATTCGAATAGTGGAAGGAAAAAATTTGCCCGCCAAAGACATGTAAGTAAAAACAGACTCGCGCCCCGGCCCCCCACGCTTCTTTTGCCCCTCTTTCATTTACCCAGCCTCAGTTGCCGGCTTCTGCGATGGGTCTTCGGTCACAACCCTCAGGGTATTAGGGAATATGCGTAGCTCAGGGTTGAACTGTGGAGTCCTTGGGGGCTCTCTGAGCTTGGTTGTTTTCTTGCCAACGTTTCGTTACCCGGCTAGGCAACATCTTCAATGGTAGAATGGGATGGGGTTTGCTCTCTGTTTATATACTATTAGGGAGTTTCTTGCATGTTGAAAGAGTGGCGGGGGGGGGGGGGGGGGG